TAAGTATAAATATTAAAATAAAACTCTTATATAATTTAAATATTTAAACTGAAAGATCATCCTTCTATTGATGTCTAGTCACAGTAGTAGAGACAAGGACTATGAAATGATTGAGTCGCAGGACTATAAATAATAATATAACATATAAATAAATATTCAGAAATAGAATTGAAAGATTGTTGTCTTATTGATATCCACTTACGATACAAAACGTAAGGACAGCAAAAGGACTAAGCTGCATAAGTATAAATATTAAAATAAAACTCTTATATAATTTAAATATTTAAACTGAAAGATCGTCCTTCTATTGATGTCTACTCACAATACTAGAGACAAGGACTATGAAAAGATTCAGTCGCAGGATTATAAATAATAATATAACATAAATAAATACAAATAGAATTGAAAGATTGTTATCTTATTTATATCCACTTACGATACAAAACCTAAGGATAACGAAAGGACTAAGCTGTATAAGTATAAATATTAAAATAAAACTCTTATATAATTGAAATACTTTAACTGAATGAGTCTTTCTGTTGATGTCTACTCATAAAACAAGACGCAAGGACCACGAAAGGACTTATAAACATATAAGTTTTTTTATAATTGTACTTAAAATAAAATTAAAAATTTGTTGTCCTGTTGATATTTACTCACGTTACAAGATCTAAGGACCACAAAAGAACTGAGTTGCATGAGCTCTTATATAAATTGAACTGAAAAGTTAAATATAAATTAATTAATTAATATTATATTATAACTTTATTCTGAGGAATTGATCACATTTAGATATTTAAAATTGTGTAATATATAAAACTATAAAAATTCACTTGCATTTTTTTCTACATTTTCCTAATTATTTGATTTTTGGTCTTCAAAAGTTATACAGCAATATACCTCTGCTTCGATCAGTCCGGATTTACTATAATCCGGTTTGAAAATTTCAAAAGAAACTAATAAAAATAAATTTAAAAAAAAATAACATTATATTTTATATGATCAAGCTATTTTTTGTGAGGTTTATTTCTATATATGCTTGTTTCAAAAAGTTCGGGATATTGGATTACCCGTGCTATGCAAGGTTTCGCACAAATATTTAAAAATATAAATTTATTTGGTAAAAACATTGTCCTGAGTTTATTTAATGTTTTTGTCTTAATATAAAATTAGCTAAAATATTAAAAGTCATAACATTTTGATTAAGGTGTGGATTAAATAAAATATTAATAATTTTTTATCTACATTTTCTTAGTTTAATGGATTTTCAAAGTTGTCAGCATTGATTTTGAATATGGATTAGTAGGTTGTCAGGAATTGGAAGAGTTAAATTAAACTATGAAACTAAATAGTGGGGGTTTGTATAGAAGCATTGTCGTACGTAATGGTTTTTCCTAAATCTATGAACAATTTCTATTAACGTTATAATATCAGTTTTATCTAATGATTGTATAATCGTTTAAAATGTGATTTATAATTAATATTTTATTAAGCAGTTATAACGATTTTTGTACAACAAATATTGGAAATACTTTTAAACTAAATACTTTTATATCGTACGCCTATGAACAAGGTGTAACTAAAGCCTCTTATCTCTTATAGTCTCCTACTATTCTATAAGGAATTCTTGTAACGTAAAATCTGTAAACCATACCTAAATTTAATAAGGTCTAATTTCGCTGTTTACATATTTGATGGATTTCCAAAGTTGTCAGCATTGTTTTTGAGTATAGTTTAGTAGGTTGTCAGGAATTGGAAGAGTAAACTTAATCTATAAAATAAAGTGGTGGGGGTTTGGATTAAAGCATTGGCATACGTTAATATTTTTCCAAAATGTATTAACAATTTGTATTGACCTTAAATTATCAGTTTTACGTAAGGATTGTATAAACGTTTAAAATATGATTTATAATTAATATTTTATTGAGCAGTTATAACGATTGTTGTACAAAAAATATTGAAAATACATTTAAACTAAATACTTTTATATTGTACGCCTATGACTTCAAGGTGTAACTAAAGCCTCTTATCACCTATAGTCTCCTACTACTCTATAAGGAATTCTTGTAACGTAAATTCTCTAAACTATACTTGTTTACACATGATTATTAGATGAGTTTATTACTAGATGTCGCTGTCCATTTCATGTACCAATCAGAATATATTGTGAACATATTTTTTTCTTTCTTCTCAAAGAATATATATGGAAGATTTTAATAAAATAAGAATATTTAAAGAAAAAAGAAGATGAGAAAACGAAATATACTAAATTATTAAAAAAAGTTTTGTTTAACAGATAAAAGCCATTTTTAAGAGGCTCTTCACTCTAAATATGTTGATGATCCTTGTTTAAAATAGTAACTATTTATTTTTACAAACAACTTTCTTTGGGTTTCCTCCAGCTTGACCGGTTCAATTTACAAAAGTATTTTACTTAACTGTGTTATTAAAATTATCATATGTCTAACTATCAGGTTTAGGATAAAATAATGAATAGCTACAATAACTGTACACAAATAAAATACAAAACCCATACATTTTGACAAAAAATTGTAATATAATGACTCAGTACACCCCTTTCATTGTATACTCACTAATAGATATTTTCATAAGCATTATGTAAGTTTAACATTCAAATAATCCCTTGGTAACACCTTCGGTACATTAGGAGAGCACAAAGTTGAAATAGGTAACTTTTCATTTAGCTGTCGACTTGAGGACAACTCTTCAAACTCTTGTTATCCAGGTAGTTATTATTCCCAAATGCCGTGAACATTTGAAGGTTTGACAACAATGTAAAATATATTATTGATTGATTTGAATAAAAGAAATGAGGTCAATGCTTATTATCTGATTTCAATAAAATTAATATGTAACAAAATTCTGATTTCATTCATATTTCAAAACAAAAATATATTAAACGTATCTTATTCAAATTCTGAATCAAAAAATTAAACGTTTTAAGCACATAAGAACCTGTGTACCTGTGTATTATGAAATATATCTTTTGTAATTATATAAATAAGCAATGTTGAAATTCATTGGATGTTCAGAAGTTCCCAATATGATTCACGTTTAATAGGAAAGCAGGATTTTGCGAAGGATGATTAATCGATATAAGCTTTAGAGTTCACCACTAGAGAAATTTTCAAATTTTAAACATAAAGTCTATAAAATTAATTAATTCTTACTTTTTTGTTATATGGAAAAAGTAGAATTAATTGAAAAAAAATTAATTAAATATTATTTCTATTGATTATCATGATTATTGTTGTCTTATTATTTATGTCTTTGGATAAACATAATTTGCTGCAACTCATTTTGTGTACTTATTTGGAAAAGTAAGTGAAAAAAAAACATATATTAATTTGGAAATTAAGAATAATTGCAATAATACAAATATAATTATATAGTTTAAAGAATCAATCATAGGTGTCCAATTTTTTAAATTCAGAATTCCTACCTTTATTTTACTAAAAAAAAACAAAATGCTGAAACTGGTAAAAAATTAATCATTATTTTTTGGTTTCCAATTAAATTTGCTTCTCAATCAATTCGTGCTTCTGTTTTAAATATTTATAATTGACTTTTATAACCTTGAACTTGGACTGTCCTTATTGCGAATTATTGATTTTCTGGACGTCCGTCAGGTTGCCTATGTAAATAATATTACTGTTTACATGTTTCTAAAAGCTTCAGCAAATTACCTCGCATTTTAACAACTTCCTAATTTTGCTAATCTTCATTGCGTTATAATATGTAGTGTAATATCATTAGTGCTTAGTTATGTGACGTGAATTGTAATTATTCTATTTTATTAATGCTTTATTAATGATAAAATTCATTACATTTATTTATTACTTTTCTGTCCTAAACCATAGCAAAAGTTATATAATAATTAATATTATTTTTACATTTAATTAAAATAGTAATTTTAATCCTTCAAGTAATTAAGTTGATCTGTAACATCTTACAAGTATTTTTTAACGTGTCTTAAAATATTCAATTTTGAAGTAATAATTAAGGATTTTTGTAAGAAAAATATATATTAACTACATCCTTTCTTCTGAAAAAGGACGACTATTAAATTAATAATAATAATATTTAATCCTTCGAGTAATTAAGTTCTTATAAGTAAAAAAAATAGGTGTTTTAGAACATTCATTTTTAAAGTAATAATTAAGAATTTTTGTAGAATAAAATATTTGGAAAGAGAAAATGTATTTAATACATCCATTCCTTTAAAAAGGACTACTAATAACTTAATAATAATGTGTAATATACAATTAGTTTATGATTAAGCCTTTTAATCTAAACATGTTATGTATGTGAATAGGATTTACTTATATTAAAGAAAATCTGCTTATAAATATGGTAAGAATATTAAATATTAAAGGATAATATTTTATGTAGATTCTAATTACAGGTTAATTCATATTATCTTGGATTAGCAGAAATTGGATGGATTTGTACCTGAAAATTTGATGATTCTACATATAATGATAATCTAAATCTAAAGAATATGCTTTTGGATATAATGGATTTCTTCTTCGTGAATATATAATTTTAGATTATAAATATATCATAATTTATTCCATGCTGTGAACAAGATAATAATTTGAATGGACAGTAGAAATTCTATATATAATAAGGTAAGAATAAAAAAAATATATTCAAGCAATTATTATTATTTTTATAATTAATTGAAGACAATTTTCTTTGTATTTATAATTTTATTATGGTTTTAGGTACAACTTAAATAATCGACATATTAATGTATAAGATTATGTACATTTTATACTAAAATAGTGGATATAATTGTGCCAGTGATAATTTTTGGAGCCCACAATGAAAATATTCAGTTTTAAAGGAATAACTAAGGATTTATGTAATATAAACTATTTGGTATGATAAAATGTATCCTTTCATTTAAAAAGAACGACTAATAACTTAATAATGATGTGTAATATACAATTAGTTTATGATGAATCTTTTTATATAAACAAGTTATTTATGTGAATATAATAATGGTAAGAATAAAGTTAAAATATTAAAGGATGATCATTGATGTAATTTCTAATTACAGGTGGCTGGAATTAGATGGATTTATACTTGAAAAAATAATGATTCTGCAAATAATGATAGTCTAAAGAATATTTTGAATATAGTGGACTCACATGCATTTTTGGGACCCACGAAAAAATATTGGAATTAAGATTCAACAATATATATTTTGTTGTTAAAGTTTAATAAATACAAATGCTGGAAGTAATAGATTTGATGATTAGGGCCTACGATAATCTTAATGCGGCCCTAGAAATTCTACTAATAATAAGGTACAAATAAAAAATGTCAAAGCAATTCACATTTTCTTTATATTTATATTCTTATTATAGTTTTAGTTTTACCGTAAATAATGGAAATATAATGGAAAAATAACACAAGAATTACGAGACATAATTCAAATCCAAAGAATCATGGAAATTTTAAACCAAAATTGTGAGTATATTTTTAAGCTTTTATCTTTTTATCTTTTATTTTTAAGTTTTTACCTTTGTATATTATCTTTATTTCATTTTGCATATGGATTATACAAAATGCATCTGTTAATTTTGGAAATTAAGGATTTACAACTGTATTTCAAAGAAAACAAGGAAACAAGACAAATTAAAGCTGGATTAGACAGAGATTGCAAATGGATTTCTGGCCTTGGATCCTTAATTCTTGACTATGTTATATAATAGAGACTATTTGTTAATATCTGTTAATTAATGTTAACTATAGTATTTGGTCATTATTGAAAGTATAGTTTTATTAAAATTAATAATTTACTCTAAAACTAACTTCTAAGCTCAATTATATCTATCTTACAAATAAGACTAGTATGACTAAAAAACTAAACTTTATTTTCATTCTTTTATTTTCACTAATATATTGTATTAATAAAATTTATTATGAATTTTAAGCATTTTCTACTTGTTTTGTTTATAAATCGACTGTTTCCATAGAGAATACAGTTTTTAATAGATATTTTATAAACATGACTTTAGTTTAATTGAATTCAATTAAAAAGTTTTATTGAAATTCATTTTTTCATTCAATTGAAAAAAAAAATCGATTTTCCCGTAACATCGAGTCACGCTCGGCAACTGTTTTGTCCGTTGTATTACCAGGGTAATAGGAAGAGAAAGAGGTTTGTGGATGCAACATTTGTACCCTTCCTTTTTAAGGCAAAGTCTAGTACAACCTACTTGGTAACAGGATATTAGGAATGCATGTGGGTAAGGTTCTGTATTGATTTCCATGTACCACAATTCCCAAACAATAGTCACGTTATTTATATGTTAATGAAGGTCAACGTGATTACATTGTTTTCTTGCTAATATAACTCAGTTTCTTACATATTTACGCATTCTAAATATTTCATTGCATTGTGTTTCCTACATTTGAACTGTAACGTGGTAAAGTAGACAACGCAGCAACTACGGTCCACGGTGCTTCCAAAATTTCTGGGAGACCGGATCGAACCGCGAAGAGAGAAGGTCGAGGTCTCCAGTTGAGAAGATTTTTTATATATATTTGTGTGCTCCAAGAGGACGGTGTTGGTGCTCTAGAGGAGCCAAGGCCCACCGTCGGAGAACAAGTTTGCTGATCATAAGGAAGTAGTAGTAGGAAGTAGTTATAAGAGTTATTCCTCTCAATAAATGGAAGTGGCGCCTTGAATCTTCCCGACTTTGAAGATTTTTTACATTTGTATTTTTTTCATACACGAAGCACTCGTGTTACAGAACGTTGAAAGAAAAACAATTAAGCGTTGTTACAAAATTAGGTTAGATCTTATTATTTATATTATTATTAATTTACAATTAATAAACCTTTTCTAATTTCGATATTTTACAGGCTTCCAAATTTAAAACTGAAGAAGTTTACGGAGGAAATTCAAACACAAGTATTAGATTTTGAAGAAAGTTGTTTCGTCTTCATATAATTATGGTAAAACATGTTTCTTCATTGTGACTAGTGGATAAGTTTCTAGACAAATGGTGAAATATACCACAAAGAGTGGCCCAACTTAATTTTGTCAAAACTGTCAATTTTTTTTGATAAATTAAGTTAAAATATGTATAATACTTTACGAATGGAAGATCAAATTTTTGAAAAAGCATTTGGTTCCACTGGAAATTAAAAAGCTTGGAAATAATTACTCTTTATGTGGTCCCATGGTGAAACCACTATCACACAAAGTGTTAAGCTTACTTTGATTCTTGTTAATATTTTAAAATCGTCTTTTCTAATTTTTATATTTTACAGGCTTCCAAATTACAAATTCTAAGAGTTTAATTGTGACCCGAATTATTAAATTCAAAGTCACTTCCTTCTACTCTCCATGTGTTTCTTCAAAGCAAGACGTCTCCAATTCCAAAATACGTAGCTTCATCGCAATTGTGGTAAACACATTTTTGGATCATATTTTTATTCAAAGTTTTATAATTTTTATATTTTACAGGATTTAAAATTTCAACTGAAGAGAAAGGAAATAAAAACATTCTACCTTGTGACTCGAGAAACGACGATGTTCGAGAATTGTGTTCCATAATACTTATCTTCGTATAATTGTGGTAGTTGGAACAATATCAAATAGTAAAAATATCCAATAGTATTTAGCATGAAATGCAAGGACTCTTATCCAATAATATGAAGCATTTATTCAAATATTAGAGGTAATAAAATTAAAATATTAACTTTATTATGAAATAATGAAACAAATTGAAATTAGACAAAAGACAAAATAATGCAGAAAGAGACAAAGTTTGTATGTGCTTGGTGAATTGCTTAGTTCTTGATTGTCTCATAATATATAAATTACTTGTTAACTAATGTTATACCATGATTATGCATATTCTTAAAGTATTGTTTACAACATTGGATTTGAATCCTGATGTTCCAATATATGTAATTATATCAATGTATATGAAACTGTTAAATAATGACATTTTCTCTTTGTATTTCTAAAATCAAGATTTGTTAATAATATTTCTTATATATTAATATCAAATACTTACAATTTTTTAATATAATCAAATAAATATATTAGAATAAATAATTTTATCTTAAATGAAAAGTGTAGTTTTATTCTATCTTACAAATAAAACTAATTTGACTAAAACCAAACTTTCAATCACAAATCTTTTATTATTAATCAAAGTTATTATGAATTTTAAGCATTTTCTACTATTTTTGTTCATAAATCAACTGTCTTAATAGAAATAAACGTTTTTTATTTTACAGAAACATGTGTTATTTTTGTAATTTGATTAGAAAATACAATTTTTAATACATGCTTTATAAACTTTACTTTAGTTTAATGGAAATTTACTAAAAAGTTGTATCGAAATTCATTTTTTCATTCAACTTTTTACTAATTTCGATTTCCCCATTAAATGGTGGCGCGCTCCGCAAATATTTTATCCGTTGTGATACAAGGATACTAGGAAGAGAAAGAGGTAGATTTGCCGCCGATTTGTTTGAATTTTCATTCAAATTCATTGGATATTACGTATGTGTGGAGCTAATACTTACAGCTCTGATTGGCGTATATACAACTACGTAAATGGTGACTCAAGGACATCCAAATGCGCGTTATTGATTATTACAGTATCTCTAGTTGCCTACAACAAAAGTATAGAAATTTGACAATTTATTTATGTGATCATAAAAACCTTCATTTATTGGTATAAACTATGATATGTTACAAAATAACATATTTATATAGAAGTTTACGTGAAGTAACGATTTTAGGTAGAGATGAGTATACAATCCTGTAAAAGAAGGACTAAAGGTATGATCTATTATAACGTTTTCAATGACTTATTATAAAAATCTGGAACTGAAATTATCATGTTGTTTTATTAGCTCTCAATCATAATTGTATTTTTTTTAGTTGTCTCCAGCTGAGATTCATCCCTCTTACGTAAATACGTGACGCAGGACTCAATCCCCAATTTACGGTAATAAATCTTGTAGGCGTCATTTCAAGTTGCTTATAAGCGCTATAAAGAGGCTCCTGTCCCATTCAGGTATCAACAGCTGAGTTAGTACAAGTGATATTCAACTAATCTGTTATAAATTCACAACAATATGGATTTTTTTACAAAAGACACGTCTTCTATTCCATCAGAAGTGAATGAAGCTATGGAAATCTTAAGAAGAACCGAAAATGAAAATTCAATTGCAACCATCGAATATTTATCAATAAACAATGTCACGTCATCAAACGACAACATGCCTATTTGTATGGAATCTTCAAGACTCCAAGTCTGTGATGTAATGGATTCAAAATCGAATCTCTGCATATCTAAAGAGGATCCTTTATGTAAGTTTACTAATGCAGAGGAGGACAATAATCATTGTCCAGAAGAGGCTTCTAAAGTAGTAGAAGATAATGACTATTACCAAGGAGAGGTTACTAAAAGAATGGAGAAAGATGTATCCAATGTGATGGTGAAAGAAAAGCCATTTTTTATACCCAATGAAAAAATGTTGATCGATATGGGCTTATATGAATGGTTAGAAGAAGATGATGAGTTGTGTGATTGCATGGAAATTGAATGTAATGGGTGTTTCGAGACTTGCAAAGAATGCGGATCTACGAAATGCAATCTCAATTGTAAGATCAGCGATTCCATCAAAGTCATTAGTGAAATTTAATTATAAGCTTGAAATTAATAAAGATTTTATTTGCAATTTTCTTGTCTTTTATTATGTAATCAATATAAGATTAAATATGGCTTTAAATTAAAAATTTAAATTCATTCCCAAATATCCAAGTTGTACTTCAGTATGTTAAAAATAGAAACGTGTGGTCTTGAGTGACTCGGTTCCCGAATATAAATCCAAAAACGGTTTATGAACAGAATTAGATATATAAAATGTACTATGAGTGTAATGGTATTGCGCACTGTTTGAAACCGGACTAATTATAAAATATATGTTTTAAAAAAATTACTACATTTGTAAATTTTTAAAAGAATAAAATTCTCTTCAGACGTTAAGAAAATCAATGTTTTATTGAACGTCTTTATTTTTGTGTTATCTTGCTAAAAAAAACCTACTCGATAGACCTGAATGTTTTCCGAGCTGAAGCAAGAAAGTTACTTATAAATTGATGGAAAATTAATGTTTATATTCATAGCATACTGGTATATATTGATTGTTCTGTTAATGTTCCTAGTATCCTGATGTTTGAACGAACAAATCCTGTCGACGAGCATGTTCGGAGCGGCTGTGTCGGTTCGCACAAGATACCGGCCTTTTCATATAGAATATGCACTAATTAACAATTAGAGGCAAATTCATATCTCACCTGTAAATCATAATATCCTGGTATCTAAACAAACAAAACAGCTATTTCACATTGCATAATATAATAATTGTATTATACTTAAATATTTAAAAAGCTTATTGTTGGATAAGGTCAAAGTCCTCAAATTCTGCTAAATAAAATATGAATAAAAATTTATGTAATAAAAAAATATTATTTCTATTTTACATAATATTTGTTATTATATGTTTATTAGCACTTTATGAAATTTTATTGTTTTTGGATACGAATTTATGAATAAATATAAAATTTAAATAAACAATAATCTGGATTTCGAGAACTTTTACTTTCATTCTTATTAATTTTGAAAAAATAGTTTATAAACGTTAGCCCTTTGGCCAGCCTATTAATTAATATATATATATTTTTTATTGTATGTTAAAATTTATTTATGTATAAATTGTACTTTATTTTTCTTCTTTTTATGTATTGATGATTGGCCAATAAATTATTATTATTAGTTTAAAAATATTTAAATAAATTTAAAAAAAAAAACAAATCGCTTTTATTAATTCCTTGTATAATTTCTATATCAAAATATGCGAAATTTAAGGCCTAATAAAGTCAAACTTAAAAACTTATATTGTATTTTGGCGCACTTTCAAAGAAATCAATACTTTATTCCACGTCCGTGTTTTCCTATTATCCTGGCAATGAAACGTACACTTTGGAACTGAATTATTTCCGAGCTCCAACGTGAAAGTTACTAACAAAATGGCGGCAAGTTTATATCTAACCTGTTCACATTCCTAGAATCCTGACATGAAACGTACTGAAAAGTTGTGGATTGTGTTCAACGTGCACGAATCTCGCAAACTTAGTACATCAAATTACCTATTTTTGTTTCTAGTATCCAGATACCTAAACGAACAAAACAGTTTTCGAATGCGATTAACAAAGTGGCGGGAAATTTAAATCTAACATGTTCACATTCCTAGAATCCTGGCATGAAGATGAACAGAAAAATTGTGGATTGTATTTGACGCGCTGTGTCGCGCAAATTAGTAGCATCAAATTGCATACGTTACCTATTTTTGTTCCTAGAATCTTGGTATCAAAACGAACAAAACTGATGTCGATTGTGTTCGATGCGCCGAGTCGCGCAAACGAGGAAGGAACAAATTGGCGGATATGGAAAGATACATTTCCTATTTCTATCCCTACCATCCTAGTACCCAAATGAAGAAAACGGTTGTCGATCGTATTCGAAGCACCGTATCGCGCAAATTTCATAACGAAAATACTGAAAAATTGAGTGAAAAAATAAAGTTTTTTTTTTTATAAAATTATCCCATGAAACCCAAAAATTGCTTCAATATCATCAATTACTATAATAGTACTGGTATAGCACACAAAAATTTTGAACAAAATTATCAAAAAATATGGACAAATGAATATTTTTATAAATTCAATAAATAAATATATTTCATAGGTGTTTAATGATTTTATTGTTTTCTTATTTTTGCATCTATCAAAGTTTATCTTTGTTTCAACTAAAACTTAATGAAAAGTAATTGTAATTTACTAACAATTAAATTTAAATATTAATTAAAGAAAATAAGAAATGGTGGATAGAATGCAGTGATTAATGTAAATATATTTATATTTTGTAATTTGATAACATAAGAATACAATAATTTCTATCTTTATAAATTAATTTACCCGGCGCATCCACCATTTCATATTTAGCCTATACATCGCAATTAATTAGTAGTTTCTAATTTTTAAATTATTATTTGTAGTTTGTATGGGACTTTATAATCAATTTTGTCGATTTTATTATTTTAGTAGCAGTTTTTGAAAAAAAAAATCTATTTTCTTGACATTTTTTAATTATTTCAATTTTGTTTTATAAATTTTAATAGTTTTTTTTATTTAAAATATCTTGAAAATAATACTTTAGAAGCAATTATTGATAATCTTTCATAATTTAAACAAAATTAAAAATTTTAAACAAAACCAATTGTAATTTGGTAACAATAAAATTTAATTAAACGAAATAAGAAAGAGTTCGAGCGAATAATGTAAATATATTTCATAATTTGATAAATTAAAAATATAACAATATCTATCTTTATAAATAAAACTCTTAAATATCTCAATTAAATATAATCAGAAGAAACAATATTAATTAAGTCCAATCAAATTTTGTAAAAAGTATATATATATATATTTTTTGTAAATAGTAATAATAAACTTAGCAAACTAATATATCCCTCTGCAATCCCATAAATCAGCGTTAAGTCTCAGCAACTGTGGCCTTCCACCAGTCTGAATCTGAATGCCGAATCCCCGCTGATCTTTCGGCTGAAGTGTTTCACTCCTACTTCTCCGGGGATTCAATTTTAAAATTTTTATTTATTTACATATTTATATTACAATGATATAGGGTGTGGTATTAAATGTAGACTGCTATGGGCTTTAGCCTCTTTCAGCCTTCTGTTATTAAGGTTTTACAAACAAAAAAAAAACATCAACAATAATAATAAACAAATAAACAGAGATAAAAGAACACAAATAAATATTAGTAACAGAGTACAGTGAAATGAAATAAATGAACTGAGCGAGGACAAAAATATATATGCACTTAAACAAATAACACTTCACTGCACGAAAAAGCGTAGGAAGAATGTTTTACATCACTGAGGGGTTGCGTAGGACTGTTTTTTTAAAGTCTTGGAGAAGTTGTGTTAATGTGGGGTCTTCTCCAAGGAAATACCCTCTTTCCCTGAAATGCCCGAAGATGTGTTGCCCCGATCATGCAAACATGTCCATCCTTGTTCTCCCAAGTGCTGACAGTGTTATTTGGCAGAACCATTGCTTACACGCTCCAGGGTGAAAACAACATCGCTGCTTTGTATTAGATACTCCGACAAATATTATTCAGTAATTATAATTAAAATTATAATTGATATTATGTATAGTTTTGATTCTTGTACTTCAACATAAAAAAATCATGAAGTGAACTAGTTCTAAGTATGAATGAATAGCACATAATAGCACCGTATCAACTATTATATAATACAATGCGAGTGACGTAAGCTTTTGACAATTGGTAAACAACATTAATAGGCCGATGGTCTTCGTTGCTTGCATCGCAAATAACTGATGCGATTTTGCATGAGATCAAACACAACAACAAGAAAAAATCTTCATATTCATAAACAAAGTCATGGCAGGATGAAATTCTTTGAATTCTCACGTTTCTCCAATAAAATTGTCATCATAGAGTAGCTGAAAATTAAAAAGAAAAACATTAATAGACAACGATTTACTTTGAGAAAATAGCTAATTTTTATTTTAGTTTATGAAATCTTCGTTTGATAAATTTAAAATGTGCTACGAAATTTCTTTTGAATTGAATTATATGTTAGTATAAACAAAATTTTCTTTTTCTAATTAATATTTTTGATTTTCAAGATTTCTTTGTATCAAAATTCTTAGAAATTTTGTACCAATAAAAAATGTAAATAATTGTAGAAATAGAAATTGAGAGATAATCATTTTCAATTTACTACAATTATGATACTTTCTTAATATTGTGGATAATTTACAAAGCTTTTTATTATATAACAAATTGCATAATGTATTGATTGATGTATTGATTGCATAATGTATTGATTCATTAAAACTGTCACATTAACTATGAATGAAGTTCATCTTAGTTTTGGAATAAGAACGAATACGTTAGATCCGAATGTTTTCCAAGCAAACAAGAAAATTGCTAACAAATTGGCGGCAAATTTAAATCATACCTATACACATTCCTAGCATCTTGGTGTGCAAGTGAACATAAACGTTGTTGGATGCATTCGTCGCGCACAACATAACTAAAAAACAAATAAAATATTAATTTCTAAATTATAATTGAACAAAAGAAAGTAATTAGATTTATTTTTGTTTATAAAGGATTTTGCATCATATTTTCATCATAATTTTAACGAAAAGCATGTTTTAAGGACTAATTATTTATCTTTAATTTGCTGAAAAATGAACTCAATTCACATAAATGTTAAAATTACAGTTAGAATTGTTGCTAAATGAAAAATATAGAAAAAAATCTACTACACGTTTTAAAGAGTGAAAAGATAGCTTGCTCAATTCAGATTATTTGTTATGAGTGTTTATATACTCACGTATTATTGTCCATCATTATAATATAAAGAAGATTTTTCAATAGACTTGAGTTTATCAATATCCAATCCCATCCATCATTATCCTTATAATTTAAACAAGTAGTCTAAGGATATTTTCAGAGATAGACCTGTTATATAGTTGAATGAATATGGTGCTGATTTAATACCTAATAGAACAAATTTAATAATTAGTTAAGTAATTACTTATATTATAAGTAAAATTTTAGGATATTTACCATTATAGTTTAGCAAATGAGTTATGTAGTTTTTCATGAAAACTTCTTCAAGAGATAGTGGATTATAGCTTTCTTCCATTTAATCTTAATCCAAATAGTAGAATACACATCCATGTGATTTCTGTAGGTTTCATGAAATCTTTTTCCATCATTTTTCAAGAAATAGTGGATTATAGCTATCTTCCATTTAACCTTAATCCAGATAGTAGAATACACATCCATGTGATTTCTGTAGGTTTTCATGAAATCTTTTTCCATAATTTTTCAAGAGATAGTGGATTATAGCTTTCTTCCATTTAACCTTAATCCAAATAGTAGAATACACATCCATGTGATTTCTGTACTTTTTCATGAATACTTCTTATATGATTTAAGAGATTATGGATCATAGCTTCATTCTTCCTTGCATTTAACCTTAATCCAATTAATAGAATATCCATTTATACCTAAAAAGTAATAACACATAAATTATCAGGAGTTACAAGAGAATCATTCAATATATTCAGTAATAAATACATACAAATAATAAATAAACTAGAAAAACATAACACAAATAACACACGCTTATTTACCATCATTTACCACTAAGCAACTGATGAAACACAAAAAAATCAATAATCCACCACAGACTTGGACCTAAACACAGGTTTCTGTATTACATTTCGTAAAGCGCTACAAGTGGTTACATTTTTTTTAAATTATTTACTTGACAAAAAATCGTAGATATAACCAATTTGTATCTATGTTATCCTGTTACGAAAAACGTATTCGATAAAGCCGAACAACGTCTTCGGGATTCGATTCAAATAAAATACAAACATTATTAATAAAATGTCTTCTAAAAAAAATGAACATATTTTTTTGTTTATAATTATGTAATTATAGTTTCTAAGAATATTATTACTCGCACGGGATTTCGTTACTCACGTGGCGTCTGAGAAACTCCGTTAATATTTAAATGATTAGATTGAGTAAATAACCGAATGGCGTCTGATAGACTCTGCTAAGAATATACAAATGATATAATTTTAATTAAAACAATGATAAGGTTATTTTTATCTTGAGATTGAGTAGAAATCGAACACAATCTGTTTCATTTGATGCTACGTTCTCAATTACCAAAAAAATCAACGTGCAGAATTTCTTCGTTTTTGTTATTGTTACTGCTCTCTTATTTTGATTAGGTAATATATCTGAGCCGCAGTTTATCAGATGATTCCGTAGGTACTCAGATTGCTCGAGTATCACTATGTATATAAATGCACATTGGTCGGTAGCGGGAGTAAAAGAGTGGTCACTTTAGTGTTAACTACTGTTTGAACACAAGCATAGAAGCATCGCACAATTGAATCCTGTTTCGAATAAGTCATACTGTATTCAAAGCTAATCATGTAAGTTTTTCATATATTTTTACCACAAATATTTAATTGTTAACATATCTGTAATAAACCAAATGGTTAACGACCATTGTTTTTCTGTCTGGATTTTTTTTAATTATTGATTTTTACTAATTAGTACATCAATTAATTTTGCTGCACAACCGTTTATATAATATATCTCAAAAAAAGTAAAAAAACTGCAGTATTTAACCTTTTAACCCAAAAAAACATATATTTCCTTACCACTTACCATAGGCACCAAAGTTTTTAGGAAAGTCTTGGTTACAAATTTACCATAAGTTAAATATTTGTAAGATTTTATAAAGAATTTCAATAAATTAGGAGTTTAGTGGAAAATTTGCCAATTTCAGTTTCAATTTTACTTAATTTTGTTGATTTTTACAAAAAAAAAACGACATAGTTACTGATTGAAGATAATTAGTTGTAATTTTTATATTTTTT